CAGAGAGCCCAAGAGGCTCCAAAGAGGCCCCCAAGAGGGCCCCAAGAGGCCCTCAAGAGAGCCCCAAGACGGCCAATGGCCTCCAAGACGCCCCAAGATGGCCCAAAAGGGTTGCAAGACGGCCCAACATTGCCCCAAAAAGGCCCCCAAAGGGTTCAAAAAACCCGACGAGGCCCAAGAAACGCTCAAGAACACCATGGCTCCCATCGGCGAGCGGCGACGCAACATGCTCGGAACACCAAGGCTCCCCAGAGCGCAGTGACGTAACAAAACTCGTCACACAAAGACTCCCAAGAGCGAGCGGCAACGTAAAAGTCACCAGGGATCCCGACGGAGAGCGGCGAAATAACAAGCTCTTCGCACCAAGGCTCTCAAGAGCGAAGGGTGCCATGAGCCACCTCGGGCAAGTTCCTGCAGCGCTCTTTCCGTTCCCGTGCCGTCCCAGGTGAAGGAAAGAGCGAGGAACGAGGGATGTACGTTATTTGGTGGGGCGACGACTTGAAGGGAGGATTTCCAGGGGAGGGGCGAGGCGCGCCAACCCTGGCCCTAATGAGCTTTCGGGGTCGAGGCGCCCAAAACGGCCCAAGAAACGCCCAAGACGGGCAAGACACCCCCAAGACGCCCCAGGACGGCCCGAGGGCGCCCCAAGACAGCCTGAACTGGCTCCAAGACGGCCCACGAGGCCCCCAGGACACCCTAAGATTGCTCCAAGACGGCCCAAGAGGCCCTCAAGAGGACCCCACAGAAACTACAATCGCCAATGTCCGATGGGAAAACATACGTTTTTAGCATGCCAGCAGGCCCCCAGAATCGCATTTAGACGGCCCAAGAGGGCCCCAGGAACGCCCCAAGACGGGCCCAGGACTGCCTAAAAGGGGGCCAAGATGCCCCTGGACGGCCCAAGAGAGCCGTCCACAAAACGGTCCAAGGCCTCCAAGACGCCTCAAGGCGGCCCCAAAGCGCCCCAAAACGGCTCCAGAGGGCCCCAAAACGTTCCAAGAGGGCCCCAGAGAAGGGTTCCAAAAAGACCCCCAAGAATGCCCAGGTAGGCCAAATAAGACAGCGATCGGTAACGCAAAAAGCTCTTCACACCGAGGCTCCCAACAGCGAGCGGTGACGTGACAAACTCGTGACACCAAGGCTCCCAAAAGCGAACGGTGACGTAAGCAACTCTCAACACCAAGGCTCCCAAGAGCGAGCGGCAACGTACAAGTCTCGGAACACCAAGGCTCCCAAGAGCGAGCGGTGACGTAACAAGCTCCTACCACCAAGGCTCCCGATGGCCACAGTTTTCGGGTATGACGGAAAGAGCGAGGTACGAACGATATACGTTGAGTCGGGGCGGAGCCCTCCAGGGATGGGTCCAGGGGAGGGGCGAGGCGCGCGGGGATGGTTTGTAATGGCCGCCCAGGGGCCGCTTCCTTCGTATTTGTTCGAGTGAAGCGGCTCCCGGGCGGTTCCCATTGCCTGTTTCCTCGTACTTGTTCGGGTGAAACGGCCACAGGGCCCCAAGACGGCCCAAGAGGGTTCCAACACTGACCAAAGACGGCCCCAAGAGAGCTTCAGATGGCCTCCAGACGGTCCCAGAGAGCCTCGAGACGGCTCCAGAGGCCTTCAAGAAGGCCCTCGAAAGGGGAGGCCAAAAACATTGTTCCCCCAATGGTTTTTGAAGGTTTTTCGGGTTCTCACCTTTCGGGCGCAGAATGGCCCGAGACGGCCCACGAAGCCCCAAAGCTCGTCCTAGGATGGCCCCAGAGGCCCACCAAAGGGATCGGTCCAAGATGGCCCCCAGGCGGCCTAAGAGGGCCCCCAAACCCAAGAGGTCCCCAAGCCGGCCCCAAGAGAACCCCAAGACGGCCTCAAGAGGCTCCAAAGAGACCCCCAAGTGAGCCCGAAGAGGCGGTGTGCTTGGCTGCTTGGGTGTGGGGACTGGGCTGGTCCCAAGACGGCCTAAGAGTCCCAAGACAACCCTCAAGAGGGCCCCCGAGAGGGCTTCAGGAGGCCAAAAGCATGTTTGGTTTACCTCTTACGGTTTTTCAAGGTTGTTGAGGTTCTCGCCTTTACGGGCCCAGAAGGGCCCCAGACGGCCCCAGAGGCCCCAAAGATCGTCCCAAGACGGCCCCAAAGGCCCCAAAAGGGCCCGAAAACGGTGCGAGTGGCCCCCTCCGACGGCCCACGAGGGCCCCAAGACGGCCCAAGAGGGCCCCAAGACGGCCCCACGAGAGCCCCAAGATGGCTCCAAGTGGCTCCCAAGAGGGCCCGAAAAGGCGGTGTGGGGACTGGGCTGCTTGGTTGTGGAGACTGGGCTGGCCCCAAGACGGCCCAAGAGTCCAACAACGGTCCCACAGGGCCCTCGAAAGATTCCGAAGAAGCCCTAGAGACGCCAAGAAACACCATGGCTCTCATCAGCGAGCGGTGACGCAACAAGCTCTGAACACCAAGGCTCCCCAGAGCGCGGTGACGTAAAATGCTCTTCACACCAGGGCTCCCAAGAACGAGCGGCAACGTGAAAGTTTCTGAACACCAGGGCTCCCGACGGAGAGCGGCGAAATAACCAGCTCTTCATACCAAGGCTCCCCAGTGCCAGAGCGAAGGGTGCCATGAGCCCTCTCGGGCGAGTTCCTGCAGCAAAGGGCCGCAAGACGGCACAACATTGTCCCAAAAGGGCTCCCAAAGGGTTCCATAAGGGCCCCCAGAAGACCCCGACGAGGCCCAAGAGATGCTCAAGAACACCATGGCTCCCATCAGCGAGCGGTGACGCAACAAGCTCTGAACACCAAGGCTCCCCAGAGCGCGGTGACGCAAAAAGCTCGTCACACCAAGGCTCCCAAGAGCGAGCGGCAACGTAAAAGTCTCTGAACACCAGGCTCCCCACAGAGAGCGATGACGCAACATGCTCGTAACGCCAAGGCTCCCCAGAGCGAAGGGTGCCATGAGCCCTCTCGGGCAAGTTCCTGCAGCGCTCTCTCCGTTCTCGTGCCGGTCCAGGTCTTCGGCCCGAGACGGCCCAATTCAGCCCCAGGAGCGCCCAAGAGGCACCCATGATGGCCCAAGAGCCCCCCAAGACGGTTTCGAATACCTCCAAGACGGTTCCCGGAAAACCCAAAAGGGTCCCACGACGGCCCATGAGCGTTCACATAGGGCCCAAGACGGCCGCAGGACGGCCGAAGAGGCTTTCAAGGCGCTCCAAAAGGCCCCCAAGATCGCCCGCAAGAGGCACAACACGCCACATTCCCACAGGAAGCCTAGATGTTTTACGATATTCGCTTCTTTGGGTTTGACAGCGTCCACGACGACCGCAGCAGCCCCCAAGATCGCTTAAAGACGGTCCACGAGGCCCCGGAGACGGCCCCAAGACGGCCCCAGAGGGCTCCAAGACGTCCCAAGACAGCCACAAGCCCCACGACGGCCCAAGAGAGGCCCCTGAGGGTCCCAAACAGTTCCTAAGAGAGCCCCACGTACAGGAGGTACCCAAGAGGGTCCCGGAGGCCCGAGAGGGCTCCAAGACGGCCCTAGCCCCCCAAGATTCTCCAAGAGGGCCCCAGGAAGGCCAAAGGGGGCCCCAAGACGACCCAACGGAGCCCCAAAAGAACCCCCAGGAAGGCCCCGAAATGCAGTGTTCATTGATTTTCGCAATGCGTTGTGCTAGATTTCGGTATGTCGCACCGAAGCCTTAACACCAGCACGGCTCCAAGACATTAGGCCATCGACCTCGCGCCCTCACAAAGTACACGCGCTTTCCAACCCCGTGCAAAGCAGGTCGAATGGCCTTCGGCCCATCATGACAACGTGCCTGGGCTGTGGGTATGAAGCCTATTGGATGTTCATTGGGATCTCGTGGGACGCCTCGCGGGGGCCTCTTGGAGGCTGTTTTGGTGTCTCTTGGGGGCCTCTTCTAGGCCTCTCGGAGGGCTCGTGGGGCCTCTTGGAGGCCTCCTGGCGGTCTCTTGGGGCCCTTTGGGCGCCACTGGGGGCGTCCTGGGAGTCTTTCGGGGCGGGAGGCTTAGATGGTGTTTCCTCTCTTGGGCTCTTTTTGGGGACGTCTTGGAGCCCCCTTGCGCCGTCTTGGGCGCCTCTTGAGCCGTCTTGGGGCGCTCTCAGGCCGTCTTGGGGCCCTCTTCGGGGGCCTCTTGGGCCGTTTTGGGTGCCTCTTTGGGCGTCTTGGAGCGTTGGAAACCGAAAAGGCCAGAACGTCAGAAGCCTTCAAACACCTAGGGAAAATCAATGCCTTTTGCCTCTCTGGGCCCTCTTGGGAGGCCGCTTCGAGATCCCTGTGGCCGTCTTGGAGGCTTCTTGGCCCGTCTTTGGGCCACCTTGCGCGTCTTCGAGCGATATTGGGGCGACTTGGGGCCCTCTTTGACCATTTGTGGAGCCTCTTGGAGCCATCTGGGCTCGTTTGGGGGCCCTCCTGAGCGGGTAGGCCGACGCGAACGATTCGGGCAGACCCTGGCACGGACTTACCATAAGCCCTCCAGTGCTGCATGAGCCTTGGGGCACTCCATTTCGTGCCAGAGGCACGGTGGCAGATATCACAGTGGCGTTGACAAGAAGTGATGCACGGGCCATGGGGATGGAGACGCCAATGGCTCGAGACTCGGGCCAGCGTTGGGAATCGCCCCAAGGCCCGCCAACTGTACATCGCTTGATCCCTCTGCTTCCACTGCCCAATCCTTATCAAAGAACTCGCTTCGACCAGCTCCAGCGCCGATCCCATCTCGCCGGAATGGCCTCTGAAGAAGCTCGTATGGCAGCCGGTTGCCCCCTCTCGAGTTGATCCTGCCGGGATGGGGCCAGCGTTGAATGAGGGCAGATTCCAGCGCGGTTGTCTTCGGACAGCCCGTGCCCTTGGCAGCCGTCTCGGCTGGAGACCGCGCCAGCCAGCAGCCCGTGCCCCTGGCAGCCGTCGTGGCCGGAAACCACGCCAACCAGGGGCCGCTGATGCCTGAGCGCGTTCGGTGCTCCTTCTCCAGCGGCGACCTCGGCGCGCTCTTCAGAACATCATGACGTCACAGAACCCATCTCCAGCCTCTTGGAAGAAGTGCAGCTTGCCGATGTCCGTGGACGCGCTGCGGGCGCATGACTTGATTGATGTTCTGCGGCTCACTGCGTGTCCAGCACGTGTTGCCAAGCGAGCTGGGATGAGCGAAGAGGCGAGGATAGCAAGAGGTGCGCTGGCAGACAGCCCTCACAGCCTTTATTGGATAAACGAGCTGGGCCGCGTCTATGCCAACGAGGCACAGTGGGACAAGTCCGAGATCGTCCTGCTGCGAGGATGGAAGCGTGCGGGTGAGATAACGGATCCTGAGGTACGATTCCGCTTCTTGATTAAATTGTGCGAGGTATCGTACCATCTGCAGAAGTACCGGCAGGCGTTCGCCGTCCTTAGTGATATCCAGTTGCTTGCGGCCAACCCCGCCACCGTGTCAGCGCATAAGCACAGCAGGAATGAGGATGAGTGTCAGGTCAGCGTTCTGTCTGAACTTGTGCGGGTCTAGGAAACCCGTTTTTGCCGGTCCTCCCCGTCCTCCTCCCCGTCCTCCTCCTCCTCCTCATCGTCCTCCTCCTCCCCCTTCTCCCTCCGTAGTCGTCCTGGCTCAAGTAATCCATCTCTGTCGAGATTGGTCCAGGTTGACCGCTTGTGATGCCCTCGAGAAGCCCAGGACAGGGGTCTCGTCTTTTCTCTCGTTTCACGCACGCGCTTTTTTGATTCTTTGTTTTGAAACGGTAACTTGCTAGTCCATTCGTTACTCAGCCATGGCGGACCTCGCGAGCATCAAGGTGAAAAGGAATGCAGACTGACCAGGCCGTCAAGCACGCTCAGCCCATGGCCTCAATCGAGAGCATGGGCGATACAGTACGTGACCTGATGAACCTCCGCCCGCAGATAGACAACATGCAGAAACAGTTGACTGCACTGAACACGAAGGTCAACGAGAAGTACGACGAGTGTCTGAGTGCCGCCAACCTGGTGAAGGTTGAGATGGCATCAGGCTCGAGCTCCTACGATTCGGGGGGTTAGTCTATTGTGTCGTCGGGTGCTAAACGGCGTCGTGGCGAAGGAAGTGGTTCCTCGACGGCTGCAGATATGCTTGGTGTTGACTGGGCTCCTGGTGGCATCCCCAACGTTCACAGAGTTTTCGTCTGGGATGCGTGGGTCCGTTCCCTAGGAAGGTGCTTGAGGTGACAAGGGCACAGGTGCGGCAAGAGATTGTTCAGAAGCTCGCTGGGGCGCCACCGGCAGATGAGACACACAGGTTTTGTTCGTGGTTTGGGATGAGTTCAGTCACGTGGACTGATCCGGGAGGTTTTGCGGTCACGAACTTCTGTGTTCGTGGAGATCTTCCCCGTGAGGCACGTATGCGTCAAAAGGCGCCTCGGGCAGGCGTGGGTTCCCTGGAGGAAGCTCCTTCCAGACCACCCGATCTGGCTTTCTCAGTGCGCACTGTGTGATGCTCGGGGATCGCGAACGCGATCACGCAGACCACGGACAAGGATGCTTCGGACGTCTTCCAAGTCGATTCCGACGTTCGTGCTAATTGGTTGCAGAGTGATTGTGAGGAAGGGGGGCTCCCAAATGGGAGGATGAAACCCACTATCGAGATGCTGACCTTGATTTGGCGGTCTCCTGAAGTGATTGAGGACTGCGCCTCTCTGCATTTTCCAGTGCCGCATTCGATGCCGAATTGGCCCCCTGCTCCTGCTGTCTCTTGGGTGCCTCGCAGTCATTTCTCGACTTGCAGCTGGGGTGCTGTCACGATTTCCGGTGCTGTGGGCGGGGCTCACGGGCACCAAAGTAACATGCAACATGTGCTTGAGGGTTGCTGAGAGGTTCGAGCGTCTTCTACTTCAGTAGTCACACGGACGCAGTGGAAGTTTAGATACTTTCTCTCGTCTTCTCCTTGCTCACACATGTTATGGCTGGTGTACTCTTACGTGTTCATGACCGTCGTCGCTCACATTTTAGCACGGATGATACGATTGATGTGGTTCCCGGCCGCTGTTTCACAGTCTTGTTGAGAGGACCTTTGGGAACTCTGCAGCTTTGCCCCGTTCACCTCAACCCCGAGGGTCCAATGGTTGCGAGGAACCGCTTTTGTCCTGTGCATCGCGCGCTCTAGACCCTCGCCGCGCTTCGGCACTGTTGGTGGAGAGTGTAACTTTAGTGCGATGGGCGAGTCTCGTCAGCACATTGGCCCGTCTCTTGAGCACGCCGAATGTTCCTCTTGCGACGGAGATTCGCTGGCTTTCCATGAGATGGACGGGGATTGCGCAAGAGAGCCACGCGCAGTACACAATGGAACGGCGCACTTCTGAGTACTGCGCGCATTGACCGCGCATGCGCATCCATCCCACCGCTTGCGCTGCTTACTCATGATACTGCCGCGGGGCGTTGAGTGGCAGCCCGCGGAGCTACGCGAAGTAGGCGAGCATGTCCCAGTTTCTGTTCGTCTACCTGTGCAGAGGCCAAGTATGAATGCGGTTCTCTGCGCTGGGCCCGCCGCCAATCTGCGTTTTTGTTCGGAGAAGGTGGATCGCCTGATCGCAGAGATGGGGGGTATTTGATGATGCGTCGCTGGCAGCTTCCGATGTTAAGTCTATGACTCAGGAGATCAAGAACAAGTAGTGCGCTGACAGATCAAACCCATCGGTCACAAGATTTCGTGGCGTATGGCTTGTGGTCGTGGTCGATTATCTGATGATCGAGATCGCACGTGCGCAGTTGTTCGTCATTTCCCGAAGCTTTTATAAGCGGGGGGGCGGCGAACTCCGCAGGAGTGATATGTTTCCACTCGCTGCTATATTCTCGTGAACATCACCAAGTCCTCGCGTAAATCAGCACTGGGTAAGTATCTGCTGACTGCTGCCTACAGCTACGTGCGCAGATTTCCTATATGGACAGCGACTTGCATTCGGGAAAGGAATATTAATGAAGGGCGATCAGGCTTTGGGCTGGCGGCGGGAGCCAAGAACGGACAGCTTTGGAGAGCTAGCCAGAGGCCGAGTGCCAAGACCCACCCCTAAACAGTGCGAGCGCACAGGAGCAAGGCCCCAGGGGCCGCGACGCGCAGTTATCCAAGCGCCTAGCGCCCAGGACGGGAAGGGGCCCACACGGGTGGCGACAAAGGCCGTTTATGCACCATTCACGCTCGCGCACCCCCATCTTGCGGCAAGCGGGGGTCGGCGAATTCCGCGGGGGCGATCTGTTTTCATTCGCTGCTATATTTTCGTGAACACCGCCAAGTCATCGCGTAGATCGGCATTCGAAAATTCTCTGCTTACTGCCGCCTACAACTATGTGTAGATTTCCCGTGTCACACCCAAACAGGGTGCATTGACAAACTGGAAGGAAAAGAAACCTGGCCTGGGACGTAAGCACGCACGCCAATGCGTTAGTGAGACGTCGGGGGCACGTCTGGGCAATCGCGGTCCACCTTGCCCCCTCGGGTGAGGCCCCTTCGAGCGCGAGATGCGGCCTGCCGGTCCGACTGCAGACTCTGGCACGCCCAGCGCAAGTTCTCTGACAATTAACGAGTTCATCGGGGTGGAGGTGGCCGGCCAGGAAGCGCGTCCGCTTCCGCCATCTGGCACAAAACTTGTAAAACATATGAGGCAACTGCAGAGACATAGGGTCTGCCCGCGAGGGAAAGGAGCTCTGGGGTTTTAAACGTGTAGCTACTCTGCAGATTCCAAAAAATCCATGGGGGGTCTGCGGAATTACACGCTGAGATTATCTTCGACGCAACGCGCAAGCGTTTGATGCCGGCCTGAAGCTTCGCCCAGCCAGTCGGGGGCATCTGGGGCCGCGGAAGGCCCCGAGCACGCGTCAGACTGCGGATCGGGGCCGAGCGGGCCTTTGCGATGGAATGAGAGGACCAGTGCGGCGCAAGCATCACGCCTCGACATCTCTCGGGGCGGGTGTCCGACAGGGGGCGGCGAAGGGCGCGCGGCGTGGCCGGGTCACCGCGGTTGCCGCGGGACCTCTCCCAGACGCGCGCCTGGAAGCCGCGCCTCCCGATGGCCTTGGCTGCGAAGAACGCGCCAATCACGCCTGGCGCCCCTGCGCGGCCGCGGGGCGACCCGCCCGTGGAGGGTGATCGCCTCTGTTCGTCGCCCGCGCTCGGCGTCGCACCTCCGGGCCGCGCTCGGGCGCTCGCGGTGCCCGGCGGCGAGGCGCGCGCGTGCCACTCGAGCCGCAGGGCACTCTTGCCGCTGCGCCACTGCCATTTCCTTTTGATGTCCACCAGCGCCCGAGCTGCGTCGATGGGCGGGCATGAGGGCCGTGCCCGGTGCGGCGCCAGCTCAGGCATGGGCGCGGCCTGCGCCGCACGGGCATGTGGCAGTTCGCCGTAGTCGGCGGCCCCCAGTGGCCCGTCGCCCGCCGCCACCTCGAAGCGCTCGAGCGCCGGCCTCGCCCGCGCGGCCCAGGCCGAGCCCTGGGGGGCCGAGGCGCTGGCGTCGCCGAGCTTGCGGCGACTGGCTCGCTCCTCTGGGTGGACTTGCAGCGACCAGCGGGCCGCCGCCCCCGCCGCCGGGGGGGCGGGCCCCGAGCCACGAACTCCCAGCGGCTGCCCCGAGCGCAAGTAGGCGGACTGCGCGACGAGCACGAACAAAGCCACGCCGCGCCCGCCCACCGTCACCAGGGCGCTCATCAGCTTGAACCAGACTCCCAGTACCTCCGGCTTCTGCGGGCGGCCAGGGCACTGCTTGCGCCGGCCGCGGGGGGCCCGCCCGGCCCGCTGGCGCCGCTTCGTGCCCGGGCGGCTGAAGCTGAGGTTCAGGCGATGCCAGCTGGCCAATGCCCTGACCCTCCTCGACGCTTCCTCGCCGGCGAAGAAGGTCGTTTCGAAGCAGTCGGCGAAAAGGGCGCCCAGCGCGGAGCCCCCGATGTCGTCGACGCCCTTCCCACGCGACATGGCGAGGTCCTTGAAGCGGATCACGCCCAGCTGGTACTCCGCGTGCGCGGGCCGCGTGGCCGCCCGCTTCCCCCGCGGGGCGAGGCCGCCCCACCGCTCCTCCACGGCCTTCTCGAGGTACTTGCGGAGGAGAGACTCGGGGCGGCCCAGCATGGCGCGTCGGCGACGGCCGCCCCCGACCCCGCTGGTGGATGTCGTGCCAGTGCTCGAGGAGGGCGACCTCTCCCGCTGGCGAAGACCGAGCGGCTCGCCGAAGGTGCCGCTCGCGGCCTCGGGGAGCGCCTCCGCCAGCGCCTGCAGCGCCTGCCCCCTGGCCTGGGCGCGAGCCTCGGCCGACAGCGGGCGACCCGCGGTCGCCGCCTGTCGGCCCAGCGCCCGCCCGCGCCGCGCCAGCCCCACAGCTTCGCGAGGGAAAGGAGGCGGACGCGGCGGCGCAGGCAGCCCGCGCGCCTTTCTGGCCTGGGGCAGCGGCGCCGCCACAGGC